TGAAATTTTAAATTTAATTTTTTTTTCAACAAAATATTTTTGCAATTACTAAAAAATTGTTACTTGTTAATATGAATTTGTTAATTCATTTAAGATATCCTCAGGAAACTATTTTGAAATAGTCTATTATGTTTGTTTTTCATCTCATCGTAACATTTGTTTTGTTTATTTTTTCAGATTATAGTGTTTTATGAAACAACTTAATCTTGCTTGAAAGGATTCGTTGTGCATGAAAACCATCAACAATAGAAGATAGAGAACTAAAAAAAAACATCTATAATTGTTTGTGTATATTGCAAAGTAATGTATTTGCTACATACTTAATCTTCCTCTGTTATACTATAAGTTTCTATATGTATAAATATTCGATTAAAATTTGTATAAATTTTTTGTTGATGTTATCTCTATTCCTTTTTTATTTTTGATTAATGTAGTAAAATAATTTGAATGTTATTGCATGTATTAAACTTTGTGTTTCATCCATATTTGAATAAATTATGTATTTATAATATTCAGTTTATAAATTTAAGTGAATTTTTATTTCTTTTAATATTTTTATTTAATGATGATAATCAATATTAAAAGAAAATTAAAAAAATAATTTTTTTAATTTAGTAATATTTATACCTAAAAATACCGTTAAATGTTAAAATGTAGTAGTGCTTTCTATTATAAATGCCGTTAAATTTAGTGGCACTTTCTATTATAAAAGCCATTAAATTTAGTGGTATTTTATGATAAAAATGTAGTTAAGTTAACGATATTTTTTAAAAAAACGTCGTTTTTTTTCTGACATAGGTATAAACGACACTCTTATAGAATTTTTGGCAAACACCACTAATCTTTTAATGACACTTATAAATGCCGCTAAACATGAAAAAAAAAATGCAACTAAAAACTTAATCTCTTATAGTGAAAATTATTAATAAATAGCAACTTTAAACTTCTTCTGATATGGATGCTAAGAGATTTTGAATACCTTTCCCCACACTTTCTTTCAAGAAGATTGAGAAAACAAACTTCAAAGTCCCGTTACGGACATTCTTTAAACAGACACTTCACATTATCATATGGAGAAGATGTTTCCAATATAAGCGAATCATGATTGGTACCTTAGGCTATCGAACATGGTTGGACCCCCCCACAAAACGTAGGGTCCTCAACCACCCAATTTAAAACAACAATGTTCTAAAACTTTTTTGTGATTGGGACCAAATATATATCTGTAAACTTCAACTTAACCACTCCAAAACCCAAATCTCCAGCAGAGCAAACATTGTCGATTTCAGGTGGGGTCATTGCTCTTTCCAGCGCAATCAACGCCAGACCTAATTCGTTCAATCTTAATTTGTATTTGTGAAACTGAAAAAACACTTACAAAAACCAAATGACCCATCATCAAATTTGCTTTTCTTTTTTTTTTAATTTTTTTGCTGGCAAAAGAAACCAATACAGTTCATATTCCACTAAGGAATTTTGATGGTTTTGAAATTGCATGTGTTGCATTAAAGGCGTGTGCTGATAATGTGTAATCACTGGATTCTAGGTTCTAGATATACATGTTAAAATTTAGAACTGCATGAAGCAAAATCATTGCTTTGCTATATATAATAATTTTCTTTGACATATAGCTGTTAGTTCTGCATTTTTTTTTACAGTGCACCACAAATAGCCTAAGCCATGACCCAACCCAATTTCCTTGTTTGCTTTAACTATCTATAATAATCTACATTGTATAATTAATACAAGCCATTTTTGGTTTGATTGGTATTTTTTAAAACCTTAATATTTAAGTATATAATTTTTTGTTAATAGAATGTTAGACTCTTAATATCAATTATCAAATTTTAATTTTTGATAATCTTAAATATAAACAAAAATTAATAAATTTCATTTGACATATTATTTGAACATAAAAATTAAAAATATTACATGATTAATAAATAATAGTAATACTCAAAAATTATATTTATAATATTTAATACATGAAAATTAATAATACGTTCAACGCGTTATTTAGATTTCGATATCATAAATTTTCTCACAATCAATGTATAACTAATTAACATTCATATTTTAATTATTGAAAAGATTCAAATGAAGGAAAAAAATTCGAAAGTAAAGATGCCAACTAATAATTTGATGATATATTGTCAAGTTTTATTTTCTGTGCGTTGCTTTCTTCCATTGATTATGCTTAAAGCAACAAGCATATTATATATGTGCAAACCGTGTGGTTAGTCACCACGCGCCATAAATGGTTATGTTTCGAATCCAACTCATCCAAACACAACAAACATCAAGAAATAAATCATTAACGTTCTTGTTTTTCATAAACGATCGAATGGGGACCCCGGCCTACCAGCAGTCCACCACCACCACCACCACCCAGCACTTCATTGTCTCCTTAATGGAAGGTTTTAGAATGTGATTCTTTATAATCTTAAACTTGTCATAAGCTCAAAATTATATAGTAGGGCCCATAATTAGAGACCAAACTAAAATTTTTTTATACAAAAAAAAATTATCATTTAAAGAAAAAAAAAGATTGATACATATCACCTTTTAAAGATAATTTATAAATTAATTGATTTAAATTCAGGTTCAAACTAAAACCATTTTGAAAAAAGTAAATTCGTCTGAAACTTGTTTAGGCATGTGAAGGTTATTGATGCCCTGCATGCATATTTTTTGGTCCAATTGCAAAGAGTAAGGAAGAGTTGTAAATAAACTCGACATTGATTAGTCTTATAAAAGAAAGATTAATGTTCAGATCATGAAAATGATATAGGTAAAGAAAATGGAAAAATTAAGGCTACTTTCCATTTTATAAGCCAAAAAAAATGAAATTTGTGAATAAGTGAAGAAGAAGTAACTATATTGTATGTAGACAATCAAGTGTTGAAGTAGAGAGAATTGATTATACACATCTGCCATGTTTTTGTTTTTTTCAAAATATCAATACTGAATGATGTGAAGGGACTGGAGAGTGACCCTCAAGTCTCAACCTTTTGGCAATAGTGGAATAAAAGCAATTGGACAAGTCCAGCAGTTAAAAGACAAATGTAAATGGTATATATGCAAATTCAGCAGAGTATGATTACAAAAGCATATATGTGACTGAATCACCATCTTCCAAATGTAATAAATTGCTTCACCATATGGAAACAAGTAAAAAGATGGGAGTAATGCTTGTAAAAAGGACCGTAGCTTTTAAATTAAGAAAATATAAGTTCGTAGGCCACAACTAATCTGACAGGAAATGCTTTGCAAACTTAACCATCATCACTTTAGAGTAAATTATCAAAAACAAAAGAACAACTTTGGGAATTCCTAGAATAAAGCTTCTATATGTTTGCAATTGCATAACGATATTAAATTATATATATTTATAAATCTTATTAGCCGAACCGACAAAAGAGAAATGGTTAAAAGGGGGAGAAAAAGAAATAGTAGCAGTTTTCTTTTTAAAGATTATTTCAGGTTCAAACTAGTATTATGTTGGCTAGGCATGCAAATTTTAAATGAAGAGAAAAGGGTGCATCCTGTTGGAAATATACTTTTCCTTAATGATGAAAAAATCTTAAGAGTAAATTCTAGCTGCTTGTATTTCTTTAGTCATGAATAATCACGTTGAAATTTTGGTATTAATTTGCATTCAACTAATCATGTAATTTTTTTTATAAAAAAAAATTTGATGTTGTGATTTGAATTTTAAATTTATTAAATATTATTTTTTTAAAATGATTACATAAATCAATTAAATTAAATTTTAAATTATGAGCATGCAAGTTTTGATTAAGTAAATTCTAATAATTTAAATATATAATGCTTGAGTTTCAGTCGAGTGAATGAAAAATTGAATCCGATATATTAGAGGTATAAAGTTTAGATAGTGTAGTAGTAGAAAATAATGTGGAAAAGATACAGCAAATGGGTGGTCATGTGTGAAAGAAGATGTGACTTGAAGAAATAGAAGAGTCAAAATTCCAGAATAATTGGTTGACAAACTTCTCCATGAATTTCAACATTTCAGACAAACATATACATATCCAGGAAAGATTTTGTCGCCAAAAAGTGCTATTTCAAGATAATTATTTTTATTTCCATTCCTATTAAACAAGTTACAGTAGTTAATCCAAGCTTGCATTTGCTTCTTTTCTACCGAAAGGTAGTAGGAAATCAACCCGGAATCAGCAAAATCAGTAGGCTACACAGCCTACAGAAGGCCACGGACAGTCCCCTGTCGGAGATTAAAAAAAGTTGAAAACCACCTTGATTAACAAGCAGGAAGCAAAAGGAAGCTTCCCCAATTAGGAAAAGTATCAATAATCAAGGCAAATCTTCTTATCTTTCAGAGTAGTTTATAGGGTAGTGGCTACTACATGGTGTTCAAATATTATGAATCAATCTAAACCATTCCTTTTTTACAAGTTTGTCATCATCTCCATCCATATTTTTTTAATAATTACATTTGCCAACTTTTGTCATTCAATTTAAAAGCAGGTATAACGGTTAGAATTGATTGATAATTTCTTGAATGAGCAATGAATAACAGCTGATTAACCGTTTAATTATCGGGAAAAATAATAAGATTGTGGGGTTTTAATTCTCAGTAAACAGAGGGACGTTGAACAGTTTTGACACTTGTGATGACTTTCAATATTTCTGGTAAATTATGAACCCACATAGAGGGTAAGAGCTGAGCCTTGTCACGAGTATTAATGGCGTCAAAACAGAAGAAAATAGTAGCAGAAGTTGTGGACTTAAAGCATGATATATTGAGGTGAATTGATTTACCAAAAAGGTGAAGAATTTTGAATCAGCTGCGCTCCAACGTTCAAATACAACTAGGATCCGCGTGATTCATCAAACGGTCACAATTCTCCATGTGAATGCCTTTAAACTGAGAGAGGGCGTTCCTTTTTCATCTTTCCGATGGTAAAACGTAAGAGATCTCATTTTCTTTTGTAATCCTATAAATAAGAGGGGGCCATTGTTCAGGGTGCAGCAGATTTCCAACCAAGTTATAATTCTTCACGTTTCACTCTTTGAATCTTTTTCTACTTTCTTTTTTCATCATTATACCTTCCTGTCTACGTGAAGGAATAGAATAAACCTATGTCTGCTTTGCAAACCTTATTTTTACTTTTTTCATGATAGAATATAATTTTTCCCCATTCAAAGTTCCTCTTGTCAGATCCAATATCAGTGGAAAATTCTATATATTTTTCAGCAATCTCTCTGATCTGATCAAGACCCACATTCCAAAATGCAAATTCTCATATGGGTTTTTAAGGTTTTGCTTATTTGTTCGATTCTAGGAGCGTTTCCATTATCGGTAGCTCGAACAATCACACAAGCACCAGAAGTTTGCTCAGAGGTAGATAGAGCTGCTCTTCTTGATTTCAAAGCCAAAATCTTGAAGGACACTACAGAAAGTCTCTCTTCATGGATAGGAAGAGACTGCTGTGGAGGAGATTGGGAAGGTGTTCAGTGTAATCCAGCAGGAAGGGTCACTGCATTGGCGTTGCAAATTCCAGAAAGGGACAATAGCCTCTACATGAAGGGTACTTTGTCTCCTTCTCTGGGCAGTTTGCAATTCTTGGAGGTGTTGGTGATAAGTGGAATGAAGCTTATTACTGGTCCAATCCCTGAGAACTTTTCCAATCTAACCCTTCTCACACAGTTGGTCCTAGAAGACAACTCCCTTCAAGGGAACATTCCTTCTGGTTTAGGTCGTTTATCCTTTCTCCAAACTCTTTCATTGGCGGGTAACCATTTCAGGGGGGCAGTTCCTCCAAGCTTAGGAAATTTGAGAAACCTTGTCCTGATAAATTTAGGAAGAAATTCCTTGACAGGTCCAATCCCTTCTACATTCAAAAGTCTTCTTCATTTGCAGTCTTTTGATCTCAGCTTCAATTTATTTTCTGGTATTATCCCTGAATTTCTAGGACAGTTTCGTAATATTACCTTTATTGACCTCTCCAGTAACCAATTATCTGGGCACCTACCCCTTTCCATGTTCAACTTGGTCAGTCTGTCGGACCTGTCATTGAGCAACAACCAGCTCACAGGAATTATCCCAGACCAGATTGGAAACCTTAAATCTCTCACTAGTCTTTCACTGAGTAGCAACAAGTTTATAGGTCATATTCCAGTATCTATTTCAAGATTACAGAACCTTTGGTCCCTTAATTTATCTAGAAATGGGTTCTCAGATCCTTTACCAGTTATTTCTAGCAGGGGCATTCCTTCACTTTTGTCAATAGACCTGTCCTTCAACAACCTCAGTTTGGGGACGGTTCCTAACTGGATCAAGGATAGACAGCTTTCAGATGTAAATCTAGCTGGCTGTAAACTGAGAGGAACCCTACCAAAGTTTACAAGACCTGATTCACTGAGCTCCATAGACCTGTCCAATAACTTCCTCACAGGGAGCATATCCACTTTCTTCACAAATATGACAAGCCTACAGAAGCTGAAGCTTTCAAATAACCAACTCAAGTTTGATCTTTCAGAACTCAGATTGCCAGATGGTATTTCCTCCATTCATCTCCATTCAAATCAGATAGTAGGGTCTCTCTCAAGCATTTTAAATAACAGAACAAGCAGCTTTTTGGAGGTTATTGATGTATCAAATAACCTCATTTCTCGCACGATACCAGAATTTACTGAAGGCTTGAGTTTGAAGGTGCTGAATATAGGAAGCAACAGGATTGCAGGCCAGGTCCCCAGTTCAATCTCAAATCTCATTGAACTTGAAAGGCTGGATATTTCAAGGAACCAGATATCTGGCACCATTCCCACAAGTTTAGGGCAATTGATGAAACTTCAATGGCTTGACCTTTCCATCAACAGGCTCAGTGGAAAAATCCCAACTAGCTTATTGGGTATTAAGGCTATGAGGCATGTAAACTTCAGGGCAAACAGACTATGTGGAGAGATCCCACAAGGGCGACCTTATAACATCTTCCCTGCTTCAGCTTATGCTCATAATCTCTGCCTATGTGGCAAGCCCTTGCCTCCTTGTAGGGGAAAGAAAGATGAGATGGGCCAGTGAAATGCTGACTCAATTTGCCCAAAGTAGATACATTCATGACCTATTGAGCATTGCCCCATGCGAGAAAGAGATAGGTCATGTTTTTACAGTGGTAGTTCATTTTTCTTTTACATTTTCCATCAATAATTACGATTATGGGAAAAGAAAACATTGTTTCAATATACAGCACTGATGCACATTTTAAGTTTTACTCTGCCAAAGCAAGGTTGTTTCTACGACCAGCTAGCATAACCATTACATTGGGAAAATCAATACTCTAAAAGAACTTTTGTCTTAAGAAACGTAGACACAAGAAAATTTTGAGGTCCACCTCTAAAGATCAAATTTTCTTATCACTACTGCTAAGTCATGAGCTTTACTTAAAAGAAGCACTTGTTTCAGCTTTCACATGTCAAAGAAGACAATATAACATGATTAGAAAAGTGAAAAAATGATGATTCTCAACATATCCAGACACATGCTAGAATCCATTAGCTTAAAAAGGACATTCAAAAATTTACAGAACAGCCACAAGATAAAAACAAGAAATTCTTGCGGGAAAAAAACTATTCCACTGACTAATAATCATCTAACACTTCTTTCTCCTTTTCAGAAGCAGATGTTTCCTTCTCCGAACCTCCTTCCTCCTAAACAAACAAGAACAAGTTCAAACATTTTGAGCAAAAAATTAAGGGAAAATAAAAGGAGCAGCAGATAAATCAAATGTTAACTTTGAAGAACATGGCGAATGAAGCCTTACTTCCTCATTTTCATTGTCAGCATTGTTGGCTTCCTCCAAAGCCTTCTCGTATTCTGCCTTGAGCTCAGCAGCTTTATCAATATAAGGCTTCTTTTCCTGATTTAAATCAAGGTTGAGGTCAAAACCCATCATTATAATTCATTAATTAATTAAGTAATTCCAATTCTAATGAACTTACTTCTTCTGACATAGACTTCCATTTCTCACCACCTTCCTTTGCAACCTAAATTTCATTAATGAAATGTTTAATAACCAAATTTAAAAATTATAAAGTAATAAAAACCCTCTCAATCACAACAGTGAGAAATGTGTACCCCTGTAACACCCTTTGCATCTGGATTAGCTTCCTTGTAAGATTTCCTAAAGTCATCCCTGGAAAGTAACAAGAGAAACCTGTCAATTGAATAGCACCAACTCATGGAATTAACCCCCCAAAGAAGTGAACAATGTGTCATTACATGAACAAAAAAAAGGCAGTAGGAGGACGTTTGGGGGCATTAGGATCTTTGCCCTTCTTTAACTTCTTCAGCTTTCTCGGACTTGATTCTGTTGATGAACGCTTCTTTCTGTATGATATTAAGAAACATAGATAAATCAAAAGTGAAGACGAACCTTCCTAAGAAAGCAAAAAAGGAAAGCCAATGAAAGTAGACATTACCTTTCTGCAGTTTTCTTCTTCACTTCAGCAGACTTCTCAATAACTTGAGCCTCTAAATTAAGAAAAGAAAGTAAAAGTTACTAAAAATAAATCCCACCACCATTGACTTAACTTGGATCAAATTAAGGGAACAAGGATACTAAGTGACTAACCCAAATTCATTTTGATTTTGGTATCCAGGCTACAGTTATGCATACTAATAAGAGCCACTGGTACAGTTTTGTTACACTCATCACTGCAATTTCACGGTTTAAAACCAAAAACAAAAAAAAAAAATTAATTAAACAAAACTAAAGGGGCCAAAATGCTTCAACTAACAGTGGATCTACAAGGACGTGAAATAAATTAAAACACCCAGAAAGGAAATCAACATAAAAGTTTAGATTGAGAAAGAATGAGTTTACCATTTGGCAAAAGCACTGCCATCTTTGGCACGCACAAGAGAGGCGGCAGGGGCAGCGGTTGAAGCAGCGTCCACTCTCTTCCTAGGCTTTGGTGGATTCGATTTGGATCCGCCTACCATTTTCTTTGCTCTTACACTACGAAGAGAATGAAAAGAGGGGTTTTCTTTTATGAGAGGAAGCGGAATCGAAAATAATTGAAACGGAGGTCGGAGAGAGGGAAACAATTAATAGTAGAACAAAAAAAAAAAAAAAAAGAGAGGGAAATGGAAATTCAGTTTTGGATGTTTTGGATTTGGCGCCATCTTCAAAACGCGCGTTTCTGTTTTTGTTTTTCGACTTTTGGAGTTTGGAGCATTTCGTTGAAAATTTTGAATGAAATGTTTTCACTTGGATTCGTGAGTTGGCTTCATTATCTACCGCAAAAATTTGTTCTTTCCGATCGACGCTCTCTGTCTGTCTAGCGCAATCGTACAAGGGTCTGAAGGGAACCTTTGGGCCCGAATTAAGGCTCCCAAGGCCCAACGTATGGGCTTTTTTCAGCAAACAACATGCGTGTTGATTTGCTTGCTATTGTTATTCTATATGAATTGGGCCTGAAACAAGTTGGATTGGGTTGGAACAAGCCCTTTGCCGGCTTTAAAAAAGTATTAAAACATTTCTGGCCACAATTCAGGAAAAAGATTATCCAGAGAAATTATTTCACTTTATTAGATTTTTTAGATTTTACAAATTAGTAGAATTACATATATTTTTAAAATATATTTAAAATTAAATAATTAAAAAATAATATATATATATATATCTATATCAATCTGTTCATTTCACTTGTGAAATTAAAAAATTCAATCAAAATATATAAAAAAAAAAGAAAAAATAATTACATTTACAAATCAATCACAGCCTAACCGTTTAGCTTCTCATAGCTAAGTACTGAAGTTATATGAAAATAGCAAACTTTGTGAAGGAAAAGCAATTTCTCCATTTATTAACAATTTACCCCTTTTCATTTATTTTCAGTACATATGGAAACCCCTTTTTTCTTTTTCACTAATAATCTATTTACATTCAATATATATATAACTCCAGAAAATGGCAACTCTTTTATCCCTAATTTCTATATTATCCAATTTTCTTTAAAATCAATTTGATGAAAAAAAAATAACTTCATCTATTTGGTTTAAAATCAGTAAGCAATAGTAGTGGAATTTCTCCAATTCATAACCTTTAAAAAGGTTTCTCTACTAGTTAAAAACCAGCTTCTACTTGTACATCATTGCACTAATATCTGCAATTTTGGCATTAACATGTGTCAAGTTCCTCAGCAGAATGTCAATCAAATAGCTGCTATGGCTGTGGGGATCATAAATATAAATTTACTTTCAAAATTTCAAATGGCAAGCAGATGACGAGTAGCACAAGTGGAACGATTGATTTTGCGACAACAGGTGCCATTCCCAATTCGCGATTGCTCTCGCTCCCTCAGAACAGGACAATTCATTCGTGTTATGGAGGACCAAGACTAGACTTTCTTCATTGCTTGTATCTGCTAATGATGGCTTCCATAATAATAATCACTGGTAATCGGAATGCAATAAAGCTGGTTTTAGGAACGGCAGAATCTGCCACTATGATCGTACGAGTAAGCTAATTTGCCCAAATTTTCAATATCTACATTTGGTAAATATATTTGAAAACTATGAAAAGCCGTTTTCATTCTCTTATCTTTATGTTGCTTGAACAAGATATTTAAGACAAGTAGACAACAATGAACTTCACCACTCGCCGTCCTCGGGTACCAACTACCAAACAGAGATGGATTTTGCTCATGTTTGTTAATTTGGGTATTTGTATTTGTGTATTTCATTTAAAATATGTATAAAATTTAAAAATTACCATGTATTAATTATATTGATATAACAAATATTTTTTTTATTTTTATCAAATTCATATACAATTTTTATAAAATGTTAAATTCTTTTGTTTTCATGTTATTTCATACCATTTTCAAAATGTTTAAGATACTAAGAGCAATTACATTGATATTTACGAAGAGAGCATTTGGCTTGGAAAAAATAAGATTCATAAGATTTTTTATCATAATCTTATTTTTTGTAATTTGATTCTTTAATTAGTTGAAAAGCTTTTTTTGCGTCAATAATATGGTTATAAATCATATTAACACATGGGTTTAGATAATAATATTAGCTTGTGAAAGTTGTAAGACTTAAAGTTAGCAAATCAATAATTTAACTTATACAAATTTATCACAAGTTTTCACATGAAATATGAGTATAACTCATATTATAATTATTATTTATGCTATTTTATGAAAATGATTCTTTGGATTCATGTTTCATGATTTGCATTAATATGATAATCTAAATATGAACATATTGATCATAAAATGATTGTTAAAGTATTTGAAATTGGAGTTAAATATACTATGAACTTTTATTGTACATAGACATATTGGTCATATGAATAAAGTTTGAATTTATTATATATCCGAAAATGTTATAATCAATTAAAAATAGTAAATAATAAAAATACATATTTAGGCTGCACAATGGTGGAGAAATAAAATTTTCATAAAATTTTGAAATCAAGTTTAGAGGTTTTAATAGTCATGAACTTGGAATTGACCATTAGGCAATTAATATATGCATTGAAAACTTATGATAACATTTGAGGTAGTTGATTTTCACTAAAAGTCATCACTATAAATAAGATAACTTCAATAGCTAAATCTATATGATTTATAGGTATAATGTAGATTATTATGGTTGGTTTAAAATAGCCATAAGCCAAAATTGATACCACAATCTTAATCACGTTGCAGTAATTTTTGTTATGTATACGGTCTAATTCATAGATTGTACAAATGATTTATCATATATGATTTTATATAGTGAAAATTTTAAAGTATATTTACTTTAGAAGCCATTAGTGATTCAAAGATCTTGTGAACATGAAAACCTTTATAATAGCAAAAAGAATGCTATTTGATCCATTTGAGTGATGGAAATGGTTTTGTTCATAGTAATAAAAATTATTAATAATGCCCATGATGAAATAAATTCATATAAGTATTTATGAATTGACATAAAAAGTCTTAAAAGGAGACTATAGAAGCATGATTACATTTGAAATCTGCTTATTAATGTAAACTCTTATATTGAGTTAAAATATAAAAGTTTTGAAACTTTTATGAAAAAGAAATATTAAGATATAGAATATTTGCTAGTTATCTTTTATTAATGATGGATTTAAAGGCCTCTTACTTAAAAAAAAAAAAAACTCACCTAATTGTGTAAAGATAAATAAAATGATAACTTAATTAAGTATATATACTATCTTTATAATTGAATGAGACATTCTCTAATAAAAGAATGCATACTTGCACATGTTGGGGGTAATAAGAATAAAAAAATAATAAAAATTACCACCATATTATTATAAGATTTTAGTATAATTTTATTAGTAAATTATACAAGCTAATCAATTTAGTACACTTATTAAAATAAAATCATAAAAGAGTCCTTAAAAATCTTAAACGGACTAAAATAGTTTGATTTATTCATTGAGTTTATCCAATTGTATTAGAAGTATAACTGTATTAAAGATGTAAAAAAGTAAGAAAATAGAATGATTAAAATTTATGAGTTTAGAGTTGTGACCATAATCAAAACAAAATATTTCTTAAAATGATAAGAATGAGGTAATAATGTCTAGAGCATATAAATGATATGCAAAATGAAAAGTTTGAACATATTACCTAAAGTGATTATATTAGAAACTCAATCTTAAGTGGTGGTAATTACCATAAAAAAATTGAATTCTAAAATATTTAGTTAGAAATACTACAAGTAGAATGAATTTAAACCCTTACTATTAGACACCAATAATGGGAACCCAAGTTTGAATTAGTAACCTCTAATTACAAAGTTTAATGAATAAAAATAAGTTATTGTTATGTGCCTTTTAAGCACTAGTAAAATTCATTTAAGTTTTAAAAATTAGTGTGATTCATTGCATGGGGATAATGTGTTTTTATACTCTTAATAGAGTTTGAATGTTTAAAGCAATAGAGACATAATAAAAATTTTACCTATATAAACAAAAAAGTAATGCCATTTGTACAAGAAAAATCAAGGCATCTATTGTAAATGTTTATGAATAGGATAAGTATATGGTCATAATAGTATTAAAAACGGTGATGAACCACTAACAGAAGAATAAATAAGTATTATGTGTGTTATATTTTTAATTCTAACATTATAAGTTTATGTTTAATTTGTAGACGCCATCAAATTCATTAAAATTGTAAGACATTTGTGCTAATTGAAGGTTTAAATCAAGAGATTCTTTTTTGTATTCATAATATTTTATTAGTGTGAGAGGTTAAAGATTAAATACCAACATTCTAAACTAGTGGAGATTGTTGGTAGTTTAGAATGTGGTGCATCTCATATTAAATGAAAAGATGTAATTATTGATGAGTAAAGTTAATTTTTATATTAATTTTATTCATATTTTAAATAATTATGTTTGAACAAAAACAATTATTATATGACAAATGATCATAACTATTTAAATATAAATAGATTATTATTCATGAATGTCATGATTATACAAAATATCATAACTATTTAAATAAAAATTTATATATATTCATTCGTTATAAATAGATCTTTTAGTATAACCATTTTCACTATTTTTGATTCAAGAGTTTGAAGTTTTATGGCATCCTAAAGGTATAATTGCCTTTAAGAAAGTGTTTTTCATGCCTCAAAATCAAAATTCTTTTATATTATTTTCCTTCTCTTATTTATTTTTTCTAACAATTATGACCATTTATCCTATAATAATTGTTTCTATTCAAATATAATTATTTAGAATATGAATAAAATTAATACAAAAATTAAGTCTATTTACCAATAATTAAGTTTTTCTATCTAATGTGGAATGCACTATATTCAAAACTACTAACAGCTTTAGTTCTTGACATTAAAGGTGAGAAAAAATCGAACAAATCGAAAATCGATTCAAAATTGTAATGTTCGATTCAGTTCAAATTGATTTTTTTCGTATTCAATTCAAATTAAATTCAGATATTAAATATATTAGGTTTGGATTGGGAAGTGAAAAAAAATTGAACTAAATAGAATTATATATATTTATTATTA